CGCGCAGTGTGGACAGAACCCGGTCTAGTACGCAAATGCCACACAAAAGGACAACGAAAGGAAGTAAAACACCAAGCACGGATTCTAGGGGCCGAGGACTGAGCCACAATCCACCGCAACTCCGGAAAACCGGGCCTTGGCCCTCGGCTCCCCTTCCTACGCCAGGCTCCGCCCCTACTCCAGGCCTCGCCCACCGCGTCGTTGGCGTAGTTCCCGCGACTCCCTCTCACCCGCCTGGGCTCCACCTTCTGCAGAAGCTCCGACTGCCGCTCTAACGCGCTCGCGAAACCGCCTAGGCGCGTCTTAGGCTCCGTGGCAGTGGAACTCCCACTGTCGGATCCACCCTCAGTGCCTACGCCCCGAAAAGGCCTGGAGAAGAGAAACACTCGCAGAAAATGGCTCTCGGCTGCCACAGCACGGGTTCGACACAGCGCCGCCATGACTTCTTTACCTCTGACCTTTGACCTCCCCGCCGCAATCGCGCGGGTCATGGGGCGGAGCGATAAGAGGTCCGCCCACCGGCCATAAAGCGCTGAAGGCCAACGGGGTGGGGCCTGCCTTTCATCTGGGAGTGGCGTGGAGCGGGAAAGACTTGAGCTAAAATTGGTGGGCTAAATAGTTGGAAAGGGGCCCGGTAAGTTTTGCGTTAGAAGTACGTTTAAGTTTCAGGAATTTCGCCTTCCTGGGCATCCGTTGGTCCACATTGTACTGTAAATTCGGCTAACGTGACCTTCGTTCTCCCGCCCGGCGGTCCCCCTACATGGCCGCCAGCACTCGAGTTTGGGGTCTTCACTCAAATATGAGGGTCTCCTTGATTACCCTATTTAGAAGTGGAAGCCCAAATGCAGACTCTCTGGCACCTGTGTTTTTCTTAGTACCATGTAGCACTTTCTAATATGCACATATTAATATTAAATATTTAATATTTAGTGTCTACTCCCAACTTTTTAAACTTTGAAAGGAGGAACTTTGCTGTAGGGTCCCTAGCACCGGTCACAGATTAGGGCTCACTCAACATTTTCAAAACCCTGCATCCAAGTTTGCCCTTTGCCACTTCTGCGGCCGGTCCACTCACGCTACGAAAACAGTAGTTTTCCTGAAACGTTTTGACACCTCCAGATACCTGTTATCTAACTTAGGAGTTCAGAAGTTTTGGAATATCCCTAAGTATTGCACCACCATAGGCCCCCCATCCTCACTCTGGATTTTTTCCCTTTTCTCCCGCAGTGTTAATTCCCAAAATTTACGCACCCTGTTCAAAACTGAGCCTAACATCATTCTTGAGGAAGTGTTCATTAATTAGCTGTCCGTCTATCTTTGACCCAGCAGTTTAATCCACAGTTAGTTTTATTTTGGTGGCACACACCTTTCCAGTTCATTTGCAAGTACTTATTTTTATGATCACAGACCCTATTTTAAGAATGCCTTGACTATGGATTTTAAGCTTTTCTGATGCTAATGGTATAGATAGCGTAAGAACACGAAGTACACTGATCTCAGAATGGTGCACAATTGTATGAATCACATAAAATTATTACTAGCTATCTATATGGTAGTCCTTACAAATTCATTAAGGGGCCTACAATAAATTCTCCAGGTGAGTTCTCCCTCTTGGCACTTAAAACTGTTTATCTCCCAAGACTATTAATGGACTCTTGCCTAAAACAGTTTAGAATTATTTTCTACGGATGGTGCTACTTCCACTTTTTTTCAGAGAGAGTGTGGTAAATTGTAAAAAGCATGGCCAGTAGCCTTCAAGAACCCTCAGTCTGACTGGGCAGGGTGGCTCACACTTGTAATCCCAGCACTTTGTGAAGCTGAGGAGGGAGGACTGCTTGAGGTTAGGAGTCCGAGACCAGCCTAGGCCATAGCAAGAACCGGTCTCTACCAAAAAATAGAAAAATTAGCCTGGGGCAGTGGTGCATGCCTGTAGTCCCAGCTACTAGGGAGGCTGATGGAGGAGGATCACTTGAGCCCAGGAGTTTGAGGCTGCAGTGAGCTATGTTCCTGCCACCACACTCCAGCATGGGCGAAAAGTGCAAAACTCAAGTCTCTTACACACGCTGGGCATGGTGGCTCACACCTGTAATCCCTGCATTTTGGGAGGCAAAGGAGGGCAGATGACCGGAGGTCAGGAGTTCGAGATCAGCCTGGTCAGCATGGTGAAACCCCGTCTCTACTGAAAATACAAAAATTAGCTGGGCGTGGTGACGCATGGCTGTAATCCCATCTACTCGGGAGGCTGAGGCAGGAGAATCACTTGAACCCAGGAGGTGGAGGTTGCAGTGAGCCAAGATCACACCACTCCTCTCCAGCCTGGGTGACAGAAAAAAAAAAACAAAAAACTTAAGTTTGCATCAAATGACCTCAAATTTGGCTTTAGTTCTGTCTTTGGTAGAGGATCAGAAGCATCAAATGAGAGGGACTGTAAAGAACTGAGCAAGTCAACAGGGGAATGTCTGCACACTTTCTCCTTGCCTATACAAGTGCCAAGAGTAGCATCCTCTGTAATAGTGATGTTTTGACATATGGCATCTTAAGGATTCTGATCCTGCTCTAACCACTCCTTGCTTTATTAAATATACAGGCCTAGCTAGGCAGCACTGCACACCTTTAGTCTCAGCTGCTCAGGAAGCTGAGGCAGGAACATCACTTGAGTCCAGAAGTATAGGGCCAGCCTGGGCAACACAGTGAGACTTCATCTCAAAACAGCCAAGGAAAGTGAACAGAAAATAGTTGTAGTCTACTGCTAAGTTCAAGCCTAATACTTTATAGCTACTGGCTATGGTCTTATCTATAAAATGGTGACATTGCCACATGCCTGAGTAAAGAGTTAAAGGTGATGAGTGTAAAATGCCTGGGCACTTAATGAATAGTAGCTATTGATGGCTAGGTGGAGGTGACCATGAGTTTATTAGAAATTCATGCCTTAACCATGTGTGCAAACCTAGAAGGATAGTGTCACAGGGTTCTTAGGATGTCGCTTCGCCAGCTGGAAACTTCCATGGCCTGCAGCACCTCTGCTGGAGTTTTGCTCGTGTCTGCTGGGCTTATTCTGCCCACTCTGCCTGGCAGGCTGCGTTCATCTTGTGCTGCTGGCCCGGATACCATACCTGCCAAGGGCAAGCCAGGCATGGGCTGGTGAGGGGTGTGTGACCAAGTGAGTGCAGGTTCCAGCCACTGCACCTAGCCAGGCACACTGGCTGCTACAGCAGGGTAAGCAGCTACAGGCACCGGCTCTGTGCAAGGCTGCAGCTGGACCAGATGGACCACAACCAGCTTCTGCTGCAGGCACCAGTGTCTGGGCAAGGGAAACGTGGTAAAACCCAAAAGCTCGGAGTTGCCAGGAACCTCCGAGTCCCAAAGAGGGTGTTAGAGCATGTCACAGCCCTGGCTTGAGGAGCCGCGAGGTGTGGGCTCCCGCTCTTCTTGTTGCCTGCAGTGTGGTGACTGATGGTGAGGGAAGGGGGGGTTATTTCAGTTTATGTTACAGCTCTTTCAGTCCCACCACCCCACTCCAGCCCATGGCTCCTCGGTTGGCCTGGCTCTGCTGCTGCCTCCTGTCATGTGGGGCAGCTGTCTGGTGCCGGTGAAAGGCAAGAAGGCTATAATGTTATAGCATTCTCTAGCTCGGGGAATCCCAAGGTCTGGGTCCCCAGAAGGGTCACCACTCTTCTCTTCTGCAGTCTGGGAGCGTGTCACCACCTACAGCTTGGCAAGCCAGCCAGGAACATGTTACAGCTCCTTTCGCTCCCACTGTTCAGCAGGTCCTGAGTTCTTGTCCTGTGTCCAGGAAGAATAAGGTTACATGGACAACTATAGGGTGAGCAAGGCAGAGAGGAGCTTTATTGAGTGACAGAACAGCACTCAGGAGACCCCAAGTGGTCCCTTCTGCAGGCAGGTTGTCCTGATGAGTATCGAGTTTGGCTGAGTCTGGGGTTTTTATGTGCTCAGAATGGAGGAAGAGTGGGCCTGGAAAAAGCACCATCCAAGTGGCCAAAATGCATTAATAGAGTTCTCGGTCTGGGTTGTGGGCTCTACCTAAAACTGGCAGCCTGGCCCCCAGGCTTCAGGCTGTCCTTGGCTTGAAGGTGGGGTTTCAACAGGGACCCACCCCTTCCCACCTAGGAACCTGCCTCCTGCCATCATCAATATGCCATCCACAGCACCCAGGCTGTCCACACCAAGCCACCCTCAGCCCCCTGGCCACCCTCCCATGCTCATTGGCGCCCAAAGTCAGGAGGGGGCCGAGGTAGCAGGGACCTGGCATGTCATTGCCACCCTGAGGATGCACACACCTAGCCAGGTTGTGACAGCACCCAAGCTCAGCCACAACTTTGCTCCAAACCAGAGCAGGCACTTCCAGGCCTGCAGGGGCAGGGGACTTCCCAGGCCCCCAAAAGCACAGGGATGCCTGGATCTGGAGCTGTGGCTGGGCAGCTGCAGCTGCACCCAGGAGCACAAGCTCCTGCCCTGCCAACATGGTAAGGCAGGGCTCCTGCTGGGATCACCTACTGCCGGCCCCTGCCAGCTCTGCGGAGCATGCAGCCCCCAGCCATGCTTCCCTTGCTGCAGCTGGTATCCTCACAGCAGCTCCTTAAGGAGGGCCACCACCATCAACATGTCTGGAGATACAGGTTGGGAAGCTATTAGTATCACTCTAAAAATAGTCATTTCACCCATAGAAATGGATAAGATCATTAAGGGGATCGTGTACAAGATGACAACAGATAGACAATAGCATTTAGGAGCTGGAAGAATTCTAATACTGAAAAATAGTCAAAATGGAAAATAAGAACAGAGAATTCTAGAACCCAAGGAGAAACTTTAAAGCATGCTGGAGAGTGGTAAAGTGAAAGATCACATCCATTTACAAATATTCAAACAAAACTGTATTTGGTCTTTTCTATATGATAGAAAAACCACTAAATTAATAAAATAATCAAACTACCAACCAACCTCAGTAAATAACATCAAAATTACATGAGAGCTGGCAAGAATTTCAGTTGCCAGATAGCATTTATTTAAGTACAAAATCCCACCAGGTGATAGCACATGCAGACCCTACCCTCTGAGAACTTACAAACGAAAAGTGAAAAGCCCCTTGGTTCATTTTGAGTCAGAACAATAAGGAAATTATGAAATCTGAGGTGTGCGGGTTTACTTAAATGATAATGGTTTATATTAACTGTGGCCCACACAGGGTCTCTCTAATCCAATGAAAACAGGACAGTTCCTGAAAATAAGGACCAACCAATGGCCAAATGTTTCTTCACTATGGGCAAAAATGTGATTTTTTTTTCATCTGGGCTTTAAGAGCTATCAAGAAAACACATGGCTGGGTGCATGCCTATAGTCCTAGCTATTTGGGAAGCTAAGGCAGGAGGATTCCTTGACCCCAGGAGTTGGAGGTCAGCCAACTCTAAACAAACAAAAACATCATTCTGACAAATGACCTTATGTAGGATCTCACTCTTGCTATTTTCTTAGTGTCAAACACAAGAGGAACCAGGAACTCTTTCTGGCATTTCTACTAATTACTATGTTTACTAAAGATATCTCTTTGGGCACATATGCAGCAAGCAGTCATTTAATAAATGCCTTCTGATAACCAGAATGTAGCTGCTCATGGCTCTTTAAGTATCATATCCAGAACATGAAGGGTTTGGAGAGAAGTTGCATAATGGACTTGCCCCTTTCCTCAATGGGCAGGTAATGTATACAAAAGAACCCATACCCAAATTATAGAATTTTTATTTTCCAATACTATACAAAAAATAGACTGTGTATATCTTAACAGATCCAGAAACAGTCCAAATTAAATGTGTTTTTTTCTATTTCAAGTTATTCTAAGTTGCTAAGGTGATAATCCAGTTTTGAGCTCTACTCTCTTCCACTGATTACTTGGCTCTCATAAGCATAAGAATTCTTGCTCTATTTCCCACAAACTCCATAAATTGACATTTCTTTTTTTAAGAGGGGGATATTTTCTTCTACACTTGAGTCCTTACATCTGTGAGATTTCATAAGTATCTGAGATTTCACACTCTTGCTATTTTTTTAGTGTCAAACACAAGAGGAACCAGGAACTCTTTCTGGCATTTCTACTAATTGCTGTTTCTCATTCCTTAAATATCTGTGAATTCATAATATTGAATCTGCCACAAAAACGATTTTGAATATTTCTAAATTCATGTTTTTTTCTAAATCCATCCTCTTAATACTTCCTTTAAGGGGCAGAGTACTTTACAGTAGATTAATTTTTTGTTTTTTAGATTAAGTATAGGTAGATGCCCAGAAAAGTGATTCTCCAACATTTTCTTTCACAGCCATCCCCAATACCCACCTTCATCCACTCACCCCACTTCCCACCCCGATTTCTATCACTTTTCCCTTTTTGGACAGAAAAGAGACTTGAGGGTATTTCACTCAACTAAAGAAATTGCCACTTTACTCCATTTTGCCTTGTTGAAAAGTTAGTAGCAGGGCTGGATGCTCAAGAAACAATGTGATCAAAAGAATATGTTTGAATTTTAAAAAGCAGACTAGCTGGTAGAAAAAATAATTTAACAGTTATGTTGAGTAAGCACAATATTTCTATAGAAAGACAAACTTCTGCAGATCCACTCCTCTGAGACAATGCTTCAACAGCCTGTTCCTTAAAGCCCTTATTTAGTATATGTTAATATGATACCATTAAGCAATAATTTAAGGATGGTTAAGTATTTAAGTATAGACTCCAGTTGATTCTGTAATATAACAAGCTGTTTCCAGACCACTGGTCTCATAATAAATATTGAGACCTATACTACTGATAGACAGAATTTATTAAGCTTTTCACATGTGATAGCACATAGTTTTAATTGCATCCAAAGTACTAACAAAAGCTCTAGCAATCAAGAATGGCAGCATGTTATTTTATAACAACACTTGTGGCTTTTAAAATTTGGTTTTCATAAGATAATTTATACTGAAGTAAATCTAGCCATGCTTTTAAAAAATGCTTTAGATCGCTCCAAGCTTGGCAATTAACATTTGGCATAAACAATAAAACAATCACAACTTAATAAATAACAAATACAACATTGTAGGCCATAAACATATACAGTATAAGGAAAAGGTGGTAGTGTTCAGTAAGTAGTTATTAGAATACCTTGGCCTTTATGCAAATATGTCTAGAGACTTTGGTTCACTCAGCCCTGACACTCAGTTTTCAAATTAGGGGACAGGTTCTACAGTATCATTTTACAATTTCCAACACATTGAAAACAAGTAGAAAATGATGAGTTGATTTTTATTAATGCATTACATCCTCAAGAGTTATCACCAACCCCTCAGTATAAAAAATTTTCAAGTTATATTAGTCATATAACTTGGTGTGCTTATTTTAAATAGTGCTAAATGGATTAAATGAAGACAACAATGGTTCCCCTAATGTGATTGATATTATCATTTTCACAAGCTTCTAGATCTAAACTTTCAGGCTTTTGAACTGAACATTGATGACAGTGTTCATAGTTCAGCCTACTGATCATACAGTATGCTTGATTCAGAATGTTATTTTGTAGAATTTTTTTTTTTTTTTTTTTTTGGAGATGGAGTCTCACTCTGTCGCCCAGGCTGGAGTGCAGTGGCCGGATCTCAGCTCACTGCAAGCTTCGCCTCCCGGGTTCACGCCATTCTCCTGCCTCAGCCTCCCGAGTAGCTGGGACTACAGGCGTCCGCCACATCGCCCGGCTAGTTTTTTGTATTTTTTAGTAGAGACGGGGTTTCACCATGTTAGCCAGGATGGTCTCGATCTCCTGACCTCGTGATCCACCCGTCTCGGCCTCCCAAAGTGCTGGGATTACAGGCTTGAGCCACCGCGCCCGGCTATTTTGTAGAAATTAAAATTTTAACCTGGTGAAAAATAAGTTGATATAAGTGGTATAATAAACAATACACTGAAATGTTTACTGTCATAAATGGTGATAAATAAGGATGTAGGAGGTTCCACTCAAGTCACCTGGAAGTTTGATTACATATTGTTACTTACAAAACTATAATAAATTGGATGCACAGCTGTTTACTTCAGTCTGGTGTCTTCAACCAAAATATGTACCTTATACCAAAACAGTGCTTATTCCAAAATATTTTTTGTAGCTGGTAGTTCTTCCCTTGGAGGTAAAGAAAATATACCCAAACTTTTAATTACCAGGATTCAGATTATTTAAGAGAACAATTTTAGTTAAGAATCAAATATACAGAGATTCAGAGAGGGGGAAAAAAAGGAAATAAAGACAAAGGTCAAACTGGCATTCCAGATCTGGAGCAATTTTGTAAAGTAGGAAAACAACTATGACAATCTGTAGCTTCTTAGATCATTCTAGTGAATGTCCCCAGGTACTATAGGTGTTTTTATAACAGTGTTTCCTAAATAAAGGAACATAAATGTACACTAAAGGGTGTTTCCCAGGAATAGAGTTGAAGATATTTTCATTTGTTTAACCCACAAACTATTTGGTCAAAGGAATATGTAAAGCTAAATAAAAGCACATCTGGTAGAAATTCATGGCAATGCATGTTGACAAGATGTGCTTGGACCTCGCTTGCAGCATCTGGCAGTGGGTAGCAGAACAAAGGTAGGAATCTCACAGGCTCTCCTGTGTCTGTTCTGGAAGAGGCTCCGTGGTGGTGGCACTAGCATTTGCAGCCGAATTCAAGACTTCTCCAAAATCACCACCAGCAGGCTTGGTTCCCCCTACTTTAGACTTTAAAAAAAGTTCAAAAAAGGGAAAGACATTATGAAACATAAAACTAGCTGATTCTGCATAAAGTAACTCTAATTTACTTTCAAGAACAAATACATCAGAAACCTTATAGCTCAGTGATTATTATATATGTATGGAATTTAGTATTGTTGTAATGTTCAGTGTGGTTTTATAGTAAAACTCATGCATTCTCCCTTGCTGAAATATTCAGATTGGTAAACTCTACCCCTCCTCTTTTCCCCCTGCTCCTTGTTCTTCACGGGGAAGTATGTCTAGAGAACTTTGTGAGGCCTACTATTCTAAAGTACCTAGTGACCTGTCTTTACACTTGTGTAACATTTTGTATTGCACCGAATTGCTCACCTAGCTACACTCAGTCAAGAAATATTGAATACAACATGGGAAAGAAATATTTATTTTCTTTTTCTCAATTACAGTATAAGCTTTCTAACTCTTTACTACTTAAAGTGTGGTTCAAAGACCACAGAGTCAACATTACCTCGGAGCTTATTAGAAATGCAGGGTCTCAGATACCCTTTCTACCCCACCCAACTCTAGCTACAGAATTGAAATCAACACTTGAACAAGATCCCTGAGTCGTTCATGTGCACACTATAGTTTGTGAAGCACTACTACAATCTATCTGGCCTGAAATTTTGCCAATAAGCATTTATTTCAATATATCTGCCTTGCATTTGTATAATACTTTTTCAAAACCCTTACACGTCACTTCATCCTTTTCAATGCTAATCTGTATATGCTCTCTCACTGTTACACTGTCCAATAGGACAGCTAACATTAAGACAACAGTCCGTAACCATGGATGCAAGAAGCTCATAGTGGGTTTGAACTTGACCTTGCTCTTAGCTCAATCTTAATTGAGTGGTCAGAGACCCCTTATTTTCACTCTCATTCTTTTTGGTCTGCCATCCAAAATTGTTTGGGAAATGTGAATAATGTGTGTTCATCAAATCTCCTTGCAGTTTAACATGTCTAAAACTGAACTCCTTCCCCCGACAACTAGCCCCTTCTCTATTCTTTTTTAAGACTTTATATTGCAGTAGCACCTACCTAGCTGCCCCAGCCTGACACCTGGAGTTGTCCTTGATTCTTATCCAACTTGGTCTACATCCAATCAATCTTTTTTTTTTTCCTGTCATTTCTCACTTCTAAATAGCTCTAGACTTGGTCCCACTGCACTAACTTAGTTCACTCTCCACTCTCCATCATCTTTGGCTTGAAGTACAACTCCATCCTTCCAACTAATCTGCCTGTCTCCAATTGTTCTCCCCTTTGATGTGCAGGGCAGCCAGTGATCTTTCTAACATTCACAGAAGAATGCACCACTTGGGTTGTTTAAAACCCTTCAATGGCTTCCCATTGCCCCAAGTTCAACTCTGCAATGTGGCCTATCCATCTCTCTAGCTTCACCTCCTGCTCGATATCCTACAGCACAGTGAAGTTCTTGGTGGTCCTCAAAAGGGCTCCCAAACTTCAAACATTCCCTTCAACCTAAAATCCTCTATTTACATTACTGAACCCTCTAAGAGGTCTTCTCTGACCTTCCCTTCCACCAAGCCAGGTGAACTTTCTGCTATTTGTCCTCATCGCACCCTCAACTTTTCATGTCAGAACCCTTACCTCACTTTAGTTTCATTGGCCATTTAATTGTCTAGACATCTTGCAGAAGGAGTCCATGTCTCTCTTGCTCACTGTGGTAACTCTGGTGCCTAATACTCATTGCCTGGCACATGGCAAATGCTCAGTAATCACAGATGAATGAATCAGCCCAAAATCTAAATGGACCTCATGTTTAATTAAATATAAATGTAATTTAACAAAAGTATATCCCCAGCATATAATTTTATAGCTTCCTTGGGATACTTAGGATATCTGTTTAATACACTATGCTTTTTTTTTTTTTTTTTGAGACAGGGTCTGGCTCTGTCACCCAGGCTGGAGTGTAGTGGCATAATGACAGCTCACTGCAACCTCTGCCTCCCAGGCTCAAATGATCTTCCTACCTCAGCCTCCCAAGTAGGTGGGACTACAGGTGTATGCCACCACATCAGCTAATTTTTCTATCGTTTTTGGCAGAGACAGGGTTTTGCCATGTTTCCCAGGCTGGTCTCAAATTCCTGGACTCAAGTGATCTGCCTGCCTTGGCCTCACAAAGTGCTGGAATTACAGGTGTGAGCCACTGCGTCCAGCCAACACACTGTATGTTTTTAAATTACATTTTTTAATCTGAATGGTGCCTAGTCATATTTTAAAGCAGATTTCATTACAATTTATAGAATCTAAATATATTCAGGAGAGTATATAGTGAATGACCTGGAAGTTTCTCCTCATGTCCAATGTCAAAAACACATAAGATTCCTGGTTTTCAAATTCGCCATTTCAAAAATTAACACTTGGGGCAGATTTCAAGGAGAGGCTATAACAGTCCTAACAATATCGAGAACTGATTTTTAGTAATCCTTGACTTCCTGCAACTACAGTTTGCTTTCAAATATATGATTTGGCACTAAGAAAAATAAAGCAGGTCTCTTGAAATGACATAGAAGAATGACTCTTACATATATTTTTACTCATCAGATGCATATTGAGCGACATGCCAAGAACTGTTCTAAGCCTTTGAGAAGTATCAGTGACCAAAAAGAACAGGTCCCTGCATTTATGGCTCACAAAGCATCCTGCTAGTGAGGGCTGAATGAATAAGTTGTAGGACTGTGGGTGTACAGTGTAACTCCTCTTCTGAAAAAACATTCATATGTCTGCATACAAACAGAAAAGGTGTGTACTAATGTTTGTATGTACAAGAAAAAAACGATCTGAGGGGGTGGGGTGGTAGGGGGGTGATAGCATTAGGAGAAATACCTAATGTAGATGATGGGTTGATGGGTGCAGCAAACCACCATGGCATGTGTATACCTATGTATCAAACCTGCACATTCTGCACATGTATCCCAGAACTTAAAGTACAATTAAAAAATTTTAAAAAAGATCCAGATGACTGTAGAGTGTTTTATTTCAATAAATGTACCCTGCTTTTAAAGATCCTTTCATGACTCAAAGTTCTCAAAGACTAAATGAATATTAGTTTTTAAACTGACTGATATAAAAACACTTAAGATACTAGTTTTAATCCTTAAAATATATTCCGTATAATTATCAGAGTTAGGAAGTAATGAAAATATGGGTTTTATACAAACTCTGTAGAGAGGGTCGAGGAGTAGATGGGAACTAGACAACTTTTGAGGTTGCTTGTGATCCTAAGAGTTGATGATTTCATAGCTTTGAATATAATCTCAAAGATAATATAATTTACAAATCAATAAAGCTCATTATTATAGGCAAATGTTCACCTCCACTGAAATCAAAGAAATCAAAAAATAAAAACAGTAAATTATAAATGATCGTCATGGCATCATTATAATAATAAAAATGTCCAACAACTGAGGACTGAACAAATAATATCCATTATAAGGTAATATAGGCCAGGCACGGTGGCTCACGCCTGTAATTCCAACACTTTGGGAGGCCGAGGTGGGTGGATCACAATGTCAGGAGATCGAGACCATCCTGGCTAACACAGTGAAACCCCGTCTCTACTAAAAATACAAAAAATTAGCCTGGTGTGGCGGCCGGCGCCTGTGGTCCCAGCTACTCAGGAGGCTGAGGCAGGAAAATCGCTTGAACCCAGGAGGTGGAGGTTGCAGTGAGCCGAGATTACATCACTGCACTCCAGCCTGGGTAACAGAGCGAGACTCCCTCTCAAAAAAAAAAAAAAAAAGTAATATACAAGCAGCCATTGCACATAACATTGAAAGAGAATACTAACTGATACAGGAAAATGATTATGATGTATGGCTACTTCTTTTTTTAAAGCATAACAGCGTAACAGTACATACATATATCACTGTCTGAGTGGTAGGACCAATTTTTTGTTTTCTTTCTTGTGCTTCCTATATTCTTGTTAATTGTTGACAAGAAAGTTATATTAAATTTTGTCCACCTACAAAGGTACTTGAAATGAATAAAGCAAAAAGCAGCACAAATTTCTAACGTGCCATTGCGTTGTAAATTGTCCATTTCCTTTCAGTAGTGGCATGCTGCCATGCTACAGCATACACTAAAAAGATACTGAGTACATAACACCTTAAATGTCCACTAGTAACATAAGGAGTAAAGTTCTTTACATTCTTTAGATATTTTTAGAAAGAAATATTAATGTCAATGATTTTCCCGCACCAAAGTTAATTAAGACACCAGGTAATGTATCAAAAAGACCCTGTTCATCTCTCTACTTGCCTTTAAGTTTTCGACCTTTTCTTCAAATGATTTAAAAGTTGGGGAGTTTCTATGGAGAGAAAAGAAAAACAAATAGTAAATACAAATACTGAAAAAAAAATCCAACTAGTTTGAAAATACCATTGATTATATTCCTCTTCAACATTATTCCTTATCGGCAAAAGAACAGATACAATTAACTGTATCATATATGTGCAGGTACATACAAGTATTTATAATGTAAGATTCTTGATTTCTGATCTCATCTTTTTGAGAGTATGCATTTAATTCCATGAATAGGGCCAGTCTCAGACATAAGTAATATAGATATGGTCAAGTACGTGTGTGAGGAGAGGGAACGAAGCCAGGTAAAATAGCAATTCTGTCACTTCCCCAACCAACTTGTCATGGTACAAGAAAATGCCACCATTAGATCCGTTTAATTTTGGTTAAGGTACTATGCTCTAAAATCCCCATTTTGATTCACATCTTCCCTGGCAGAATTTCTACATGAACACACATCACCCAAGTGGGACAAGCTTATGAGGTTCAGTATCAGGGAGCAGCATAATAGGGAAAGCAGGGACCAAAAAGGGGGAGAAGCATAGAAACGGCTTTGCCTACTTCACAACGCTGTCCCAAAGGATGAGGAGAGCACACTGAGCCCACAGGACATTCATTCATCCATGTTACATTCACATCTATCCATATTAATTAAGGAGGATCACAGCGCCTTTGTCTCTCACAAAGGCGCTTTGGACAGAGGGTTTCCAATGCTGTTATCCTATCCAACTGACCTTGAATATCCTTCCTACTACCAAGATGAAAAATGCAAAGAAGGGAAAAGGGGTTTCTTCCTTCCCACGGTGGTGATGGCAGGACAGTTAAGCCAACAGCTCTCAAAGTGTGGGCCCCAGACCAGCTGCTGCTGCAGCTATCGGGAAGTCATGCACAATGCCAATTTTCAGGTCCCACCCCAACTCTACAGGATCAGAGGCTCTAGAGGTGGGGCCCAGCAAGCAGGGGTTTCACAAGCATTCCAAGTGATTTTGATGGACACTGAAGTTTAAGCCAAGCACAGATTGTTAAAAATCCTCTACCTCTCTAGAGAGGTTAGGTGAGGTAATATCACTTGCAAGTGCTAATGAAAGCAGATACTAGAATTAAATCATAGTTGGCTTCAAATGTCACAGTGGGACAAGGGAAGTGAAAATGGGAAGGATGTAGAAAAGGAGAGTGTAAGTAAAGCAAATGCAGACGGAGGTGGCAGAACAAGAGAAGGTTTGTTAACAAGCAGTGCTCACTTTGTGAAGTAAACAGATTTCAGACAGGAAACAAAGGTTTTACAAAATAAAATAGAAATAACTTTTAAAAAACAAAATCAAAACATTTAACGGATCTCTTGCACCCATCCCAACATTAGAGGACGTGTAGCTGAAAACTGATAGAGTGTTAAACACACAGCTTGTTTCAAGGGGAATTCTAGTTCCCTGATTCAGAACAGTTCAAGTTAAACATCTAATTAAAGAAAAATAAAGCATAAGACCAACTACATTTCATAAAAATATACTTTACCTCATAGCAGGCATGCTAATTGAATGCTGAATGGAACGTATACTAAGAGGCAGCATTAAAAAGAGATAGAAATAAGGTTAGTATAGTGGTGCTTCAACATTATTAAAAGCTGACAAAACTTAGCTTCCCAGGAGCTTTATTCTTTTGGCGCCATGAAGAATTACCTACTTTTTGAGGTGGAGGGGATCAAAATTATTCCAACAAAATTTACTTTTATTCAGGAGCCAATTAATTCCCAGGAGTTACTAGAGCTAACAATACCACCTTGCATTTTATAGCACTTTGAAAACTAAAGTGCTTTCACTTAGAGCTGTAAGGCATATAGGAGTTAAATGAGTTACCCTAGGTCACAGCAGAATCAAGAATAGAACTTGGGTCTTCTAATTCAATGTTTATCGCCTCCCCTCAAAAATGAAGCATGCACACACACACACATACACACATATATACATACAAGCAAGGACAGGGAAGGACCCCTAGTAAGTCAAGGGGTAACTGCCCACTCAAGGACAATGCAGTTCACTGACCACTCAGGTTCAAGGTTATCAACTCTTAGCCATCTCCCATAGAGACCACCTCACGAGATGAGAGTGCCTTCATTCCTAGGCTCGTAAAATGACTGTATTCTGCTAATATTGTTACTATGTTTATAGTAGTTTGACCACCGGCATGACTTTGGTAAATAAACTTTCCTTTGGGTAAAGTGTGTAGGTTCAAGGTATTAATTCTCAGTTATATTTAAATATTTTGTGTGCTTATGATTTCCTTTTCTTAAAGACTCATTTGTTACAAATGATAATATGTCTTCAATGTAGCTCCTCAAATCTAACTTTGCATTAATATCTGATAACATGGAGAATGATTGTGATATATGGATATATGTCAAATATGCTGGGAATCAGTGTAATCAAGATTATCAATGAAATATTTAAGCATCTCTGTACTCAATGTCTTACATAACAGGAAAAGATACATGTAACTCAGCATTCTCTCTATCCTACAATGGTGGTCAATACCTACGGTATAAGACTATAATAATCTATTCTGGGAGGAATTTGATAAATTTCCTACCTGAATCTATCAAAGACTGTTGGTCCCAGTCTCTAAATTTACAACACCAGAACTCTAAGTACCACCTGTTCTTCCTCAGACCCTTCTGCTGAAGCTGCCTGGAATAGTCACATTGCCACAAACCACCTTCTACCATAACTGATATGATAAGTGGATCAGTGAAGCACCACCCACCACCGCTAACCTCCCAGTGGCCTATAAACTGTTTGGAATGTATGAAAAATGAAGGAGTGAAGACAATTAAGACTCTTATCCTGGCATATTGTAATTAGGACACTAAGCTTCTGGACACTTAGATGTTGAAGATCTGGCGGGACCAGGTGAAAGCTGACAGAACGCAGAGGAAACCAGTTCCCAAAGAAAGAATCGAATACAAGCACAGAGAGAGGGAGAGCAAATGAGGTCAGGAGAGGTGATCATGCAGGGAATCCAGCAGGGCAGGAGAGGAACAGGTTTCTTGGTTTCTATAATAGAAGCTATTTCAATTTCCCAGTTGATGGAGCTGGTTTGGGTGGAGCCTGGCCTTGCTTCCTTTTCTCTTCTTGAATTACAAAAAAAAACTTTGTATTTGTGCAACACATTCTTCTTTTTAGGTAAGCTAAAAGTTACACAGCTTTCTGTTCCTAATAATCAAAACTCTTCATTAGGACATTCATCTTGGCAGAAATCGCTGAAAAAGAAGGTGAGTAATGGCCAAATACGTGATAAATTCCTTGTCCAGGGGACCCACACATTGAATTTAATAGTATCAACAAAATGAGGAAACAGGTGGATAAGTGCACATTTCAGAATTTCACAGCTAATTCTAGTCACTGTCCCTAAGAACCCATGTAAAATATCACTTCCTCCAGCAGTGGATCGGTCGGGCTCTATACCACTTTACCCAGCACATACCTACTAAATATGTTTCAGTGGTAATATATCAGGAAAGGCAAGGAAGTGGTTAGACTAAGTGTTTATTTTGTGAAAAAAATCACTAAAGTGAATTTGGTATTGAGCACTTTTCTGTATGCATTATATCACCTTGAAGATAAATATACAGAATAAAATCAGTTAATAGAGTCAAAGACAAGGTCTCTCTGCTTTTACAGTAGCTATTTTAGTAGGAAGAAAAGGAGCACACATCAACTTCAATTCCATCTGGTTGCTGGATCCTCCCCATAACCCACAGTTAGATGAAATTCAATTTTGTTAATAACTAGTCGTAATGTAACTATAGGGTGGCTGTTCTTTCATTTCTGGCTTCTCCATGGCAAGTTACACAAAGCTTCAACTTGCTCATCATTTTCAGTTTCATTCAAGCTTAAATGTAATATGGAAACCTTCAAAAGCAAAATGTCCTGTTGCTGCAGGACCAGAATCATCTCTAATAGATAGGTTGTAAGAATCAGTTACCATCTATAAGGCACATTTTATTAAAAATGTTCTGTCTCATTTGTAACCCTCAAATACATTAATCTGTAATCAAACTAGGAATGCAAACCTGGGCTCCTCAAAACACTGAAAAAAAAATCAGGATAATCTGATTCTCAGTAAGTACTCTTCAATCTCATACTGCATTTACTCTATTTGAAAAGTCATTGTTTAAAAAACAGCTGAATTGATTTTTTTTTTAAATTCCTTGTTTCTAACAGTTATCAGATCCTTTCATCCTTAATACTAATAACAGGGGAGGGGGCAGAGGGAGGAGAAGGAAGGAAGTCGCAGCACAGGAAGGAGGAGAAGGAAGAATTAATGGCTAACACGTTGGAATGCTTACTATGTACCACGTATGCTTTTCACAGCTATCGATGTAATATTATTCCACTTTGCCCTCACACAATCTCTTGATGTTGTGGTCACAGCGGCTATTGTTCAAAGTGCTGGACAGTGCCCAGAGGGGCATTGTCTTAAACCACCATTACTCTGGGAAGGCCCAGGAGGACAGTGCAGGCTCCGGGACTAGCCGTGCTTGGTTCCAGTCCTGGTGATCAGCCACTTACACCTGCTGGGCAACCTTGGGGAAGTCCTTAATCTCTCTATGGCTCAGTTTCCTCATCTAAAATATCAAAACAACAATAGCACCTACTTCTGAGGTACTATTGTCTTACTGGGCTTATAAATGTTAATTGTTATTATAACACGTGACTTTAATTGAAACACGAATTAACATCTACTGTATATTATACTTTCACATATGCATAGAAAATATGCAAACAGGAGGGGAAATATAAGCATATCACCTTCAAGCTTTCAAATTTCAGCATTATTTTGGTTTTCAGCTCCACCCCTATAGTCTACAGCAATGCCTGGCACATAGTTAGCACTCAATAAACACTTCTGAGTGAAAGAATGAATGAATAAATGAATAAACAATTTTGATAACTAAAATTGGGAATATGAGCATGAAACACAGAAAAGTTCATTAAAGTGTTTCAAATTCTAATCAAAAGACATTCTTTTTCTGACACAAGGAAAGAGATCATTTCTCTTCCCATTAAGTGGTGGAAATTTTCAGCAAAAGGGAATTGTCTAGCAAGACTTTAATGAGCCCAAAACAAATAAATATCTACAGGGGTACATGAAGAAACACACATTTAAAAAGGAGAAATTTTCTTTGGAAATAAAGGCAAAATTAATTAGCACTTCCTCTTAAATATACCAAAAATATTAGACAAATGTGTCTACTGAATATTACAGTATAGTTTTAATAACACCAAAATTTTATGTTTAACCCTGGCACTGACTGAAATGAGAAGGTTCTTTTAAAGCTTCCCTCAAAATGTAATGGCATGAGTCAATACTTTCATATAGGCATAGAAAATATGCAAATGGGAGGGGAAATATAATCATACCACCTGAGGGAAAAGCAGGCTGCCCAAGAGGGCCTCCCAGGACAGCACTCATGACCACATCCTCCTTGGCCTCGCTACCACCACCGCCCCTCATTCTCAGGACATCAAAAGCAGCTCGCTCTCTCTGTTTCCTTATATATCTGCCTCCCCCCAACCAAGGCATAAGGCAAATATCTAAATCCCAAGTGCTGATTTATCAACTATGTAAAATAAAAACTGTTGCTGAGTCTAATACATTCAGGTTGGCAAAACTGGTGCATTTTCTCCTTCTATATCCATAATTACATTAGGGAGTAAAATCACTGGCATAAGTTTGCCAGGTAAAATGGACCTAAAACAAACAGTGAGTGGGATTAAGGATTAATCAACTATTTCATAGCACTTAGCAAAAGGAGCCTACTGCATCCATCTCCGTGGGAGAAAAGGACTTACTGCTGGGATTGTAACACTCAAAATCTACAGCCTAAGCTCTCTTTCCTTGGATAGTTCTTGAGGGAATGTGGCCAATATTTGCCTCTGTGACTCACATAATCTAAAAGATGTAGGTTTTTTTTATGTATGTGAACACATTAAATCAGAACACAATCACTTCTTGGCCTTGGAATTATTTTTTTAAATGCCTTTACCTAGCCTTTGATTTGTAAGAATTACAAAGTTTAACTTTCAAAAGATAATCTCATTTCTCTCATTTTAATCAAAAGCCTTACTTTAACCCCCACATGCTGATGGGCAATTAAATATTCATAAAAACTTAATATTTATTAAAAACAAGACTGAAAATGGTACAGCATAATCTCAATATTTTTAAAATAAAATGGACAAAGTGACTGTAAAGTGAGCTAGAAAAGAGTTGCAAAACATAATTTGTTGCTGATGAATTAATAAGACAGCACACACTGAGCCATATCTAGGTATGGCTTTAAGGTATAGAAAGGTATTCTTTAAAGGTATAGAAAAGTCTAGTGGTATGTACTGAAGAAACATCGTCCTCAATAGCCCTTACTTTTATATCTTATATTGATGTTTGCATCACACCTAACATTTTATAATCAGTACTGATGAGGCTCTTCCATTCTTACCTTATCCCAAGTCCCCACTTTTCCCCTACTCCACTCTAAGATTTTAAGCTTGATTCTAATAAAAGCCATGTCTTCTTTACCGTTATGCCCATGGGACCTGTCCACAGTAGACACTCTAATGTCAGCAGAATGGGTGATGTATTCAGTTACTTAGAGCACTTTTTAACTGAATGCCAATGATACACAATCACCTATCATTGGTTACTTGATTTTTTTAGCATAATTTTAGCTTTAAATAGTTCAACATTTAGAGTTTATATATCCCTATAATCTACTCTGACTTCCAGGGCTAAGTGTCACCGAGACAGAAGCTATAAGTACCTGTTTGCTTACTCAAAAAGGCAAGTAGCTAGACTACCATGAGTGACTGCTTAAGAAAATAATCTGCATCAGTAGGAACAGAGATGAAGACTACTATATTATCCTTCCTGCTTACACTCTAAAGACTTTCCTCCACCTTAGATTCCTCCAACAACTGATTAGATAATCATAGAGTCTGCCTGGGAAAGACAGAGGTTTGCTTAACATCACAAAGTCTCTTTCTATAAGGCATGGTTTGAGCTAACATCTTTTTAATGTGCTTTTTTTAGCTTAATATACCTTTTCCTTTTTCAAACCATGAAGTTGCCTTGTGTACATAGAGAATATAACAAGTGTAAAGAAATAATAAAATCGTAAAAACTATAAGCTAGTAAAACAAGTATTAAAAAGTACAGAGTAATGGTAGATTTTACCTTATGTATATTTTACCACAATAAAAAAAAAAAAAAAAGTAGAGTAACCAATAGAAGATGGAAGACTAACATCAGGAGGCAGTACATATGCAGTCTATTACAATTGCATAATGAAACCCAGGTGAAGAATTCCAACATCCTTACAAAAGTACCAAAGAAACAAAAGCATCAAAAACAAACAAAGTCAGACATTAAAAGGGAGGGATTTTGCATGCCACGGTAAAGCTGCTTCTTTTTACCAAAGAAAAAAGTAAAAAAGAAATGTCAAAATCATTTCCATATCCGTTGAACCACAGTGTCAAATACTTCTTTTAATTTATCAATTACTCATGGTATACAAGAAACCCTCCCTTGAAATTAGGAATGCACTAGAGAAAAAGATACTCCAAATGCAAGAAAATTATGTACTGGACAAACACGATCATCCAACACAGCATAGTAATCTAATCTCAGCACACTTTTCTTATACAACTGCTAGACTGCAGTGACGGTTCAAACTCTCCTTACCTAAAGGAATGTGAAAAGGCTTGCAATCTGTAAGAAGCCAGAGTAAGCATTAAAAAAGAAAGAAGTTCTGATAAATCTAAAACAATTAAATAACCTAAGTTTTAAAATGTATAATGTTTTCCCTGGGCTCTAAACTGCTACACAATTCAGTCAGCATAGAGAAAATGAACACCTAATAGATATATACATAATTGTCAAGAGAATTCAAGAAAGCTATATTTATTACATTATGCTTAGACGACGACAGTCCAAATATAATGAGCGAGGAATTTAGTTATTTTATATAAAGTATAACACATAAATTGACCAAACCTATTCAACCAAGAAATTCTGCTTGTAAGATCCACTTTCCCCACAAATGCAAAACACAAAGCCATGCAATCTGAGCATTTTTTTAAAAACACAAATCTTGCATGCCAACAGAAGCACAGCTGACTTAAACCACATTTGTCATTTTCATCACTATCCTAATCCACATGAGTGAAGGGGGGACACAAAAGCACTGTGAAGTGGTTTTATCAAAATGGCAAGGAAAACTCTGCAGACTAATCTAAAGTACAAATGCAAAAAAAAAAAAAAGCAACAACTCAAAATCAAGATTTTGGCCTAAGCATGAACGTAGTTACAGCTTACCGGTTAGAATAAATCAGTGCACAAATGAGCATGTTGTAATCACACCATGGTATAAAATGTTACATACAGAACGTGAAGCCAAGTTTGAATCGAAGCGTGCACTTCAATGCTCCTGTTGTCATCCCTAGTAACACACCAGGCTCTGCCCACAATCACAAATTTGCAACCAAAGACATACTTACCCTGCATGATCATGAAGAACTAAAAAGACACAGAAGTTCACAACCAGAACTTTTCAACAACCTTAAATGATCATCAGATGATGATCTGATGTCAGAATGCTAGGCCTAGAAGACCTTAGGTGAGCCTTCCAGGTACGGGTTTGAAGGAGTGCCCTCCCTCACTCTAACAGGAGTAGCTAGCATCAACTACAGCCAAGGTCAGGAAACAGATGCAACAACAATAACATTTTAATTTGCGTCAGCTACTTAATGAGCAAGGAAAAACAAGGACATACTTTACGTCTTCCAGCTTTTTGGTGATGACTGAGCCAACAGACGAAAAAGCAGCTGAGGCCTTCTGTCCAGCCTGGGACAAGGTTTCAGATGTCTTCTTGTAACTATATTAAATTATAAACACACAGAGCAAAGAAGGGTCAGCTGATCTTTTCTAGCATCAATTGTTTCAAGTGCAGTGGTCACCACCTGCTGGAGAACTCTCAAAAAGAGAAAACATTTTTCAGAACTTCTAAAATCCTTCATAACCAGCAGGGCAGCATCACCGCATCTTCGTATGTTCAACCCTAAGCTCAGGCACAATCTTCTGCAGTGCCCTAGTCCAGCCAGAAAGACAGAGGCCTATAAAGGCAGGGCCAAAGAAGTCAAGGTAAGGGCTAAAAATAATCATAAAACAAAGATGAAAATAAGCAAGGGCCTGAAAGAACTCACACCTCTTGTTCTTTTCCAAAATCTAAACAAATTTTGGATTATTCCACATAATCTAAACAAAACAAAAATGAAATCAAATTCCTCAGATGCCTTTGTCAACTTGATTTCCTAAAAAAGGGCCGGAAGCAATTAGTAGTTGGCATAAGTAGGACCCATTTGTATTTTATTATCCAAATACATTTTATGGGCATACTTTTAAAAAAATTTTGCATTTCTTTAGAGCTGCCAAATAAGGACTTAGTGGACTTTCAACAAAGTATGTAAAATATGCAATGCTTCAAATTATTCTAGTTTGGTATCTGCTATCACACAAAGGCAAAATTTGCCACCTCCTTCCCAGCTACCTGGAGATTAGAGAAGGGAAAAGTGAAAACAAAAAAATGACGACAACAACAACAAAAAACAAATAAAATAATATCATACCTACCAAAACAATTCCCACATTATGGGAAAGAATGCTCAGGCATTTTTACTTACCCTGTCAAGATCAAATACCAATAAAAAACATGGTTTATGGTAATAACTGTCAAAAAAAAAAGTTTCCTGTATGTTTTCCCACTGCCAACTTAGATGGGTAGAAAATGGACCAAAAGATTGGGGACTCAAGTACTGTCATGTTAAATACAGTTGGCCTCACTTCTGAGAGTTAAACTGTAAAACAACTTCTACGCTCACCAGCTCTGCAGATGGCTCTCAGTACAGAAGACAGAGCAGTTCGGATTCTGCTGCTAGAAGCTTGCTCCTCCTTGTGCCAGGAAACAAAACTGCATTATGATAATGCTATATCATCGTATGTGTGGTCAAAAAGACAAAAAGCTTAAGGGATTGACCTCTGCCAAGAGCATATATCTGAGACTATGACCTGAGAATCTTACGATACATACAGAGCAAGGTAAAAAAAATAAATTAATAATAATAATAAAGACTGGCTCCCGACCTGAGTTTGAATCCCCACTCCACACTTTGAGAGGTTTGTGACCTAAAAACTTAATTTGTCTGAGCCTGTTTCCTTATCCAGGGTTATCTCACCACCCATTCTTACTGGGTTATTCTGAGGACTAAAGGACACAATGCACATATTTGTGACAAGTCAATACATAACACTTATGGGACTTGAATTTTATTTCTCCAACTGGCTAGCTTTCTTTCTGTTCCTTAGAATAAATGGTCTGGAAAATCTAAGTTACAAAAAAGGCAGGTACACTTGAAAATCAGAAAAAAAAAAGTGTGCCATGTCGTCCAAAGAAAAGCTGCTGAAGCATCCTCATCCTCTTTTTCTTCCCCTCCCCAGACAAAAGGCACGACAGTGTCCTTTACATTCCCAAGGACAGTGTACGATCAAGGGAACATACGCAGATGTTGCTGTCACGTCTTGCCACCCTTTGGCAATGTTCTGTTTTAGTTCCTGTAGAGAATTGATTCCAAGTTTCCGCTTGATCTCTGCTAGATGCTTCTCTTTTGCTGCTAACACTTGAGACAGAGTCTGGATTTCTTCTTCTACCTATGAGGAAGGGGTTAGGGTAGGAATATAGCAAAAGTCGTTCAGTAAGTTAAGATTATTAGCACCGAACTATATCAAAAATTCCAGTCATTAAACATTTTTTGAACCATTTATCTTTCTAAAAACAATGTATAATGTTGTTGAGTAAACTGGTTACTTGCTGATCTCTCCTGTTAGAGCTTCTCTCTCCTCCTCCATGGGAGCTCTTTATAATCCCATCTTAAGTTGTTTTGGGCCTTCTCCTCTCTCCCTATACTTCCTTACTCAGCTATCTCATGTAGGTTTAGGACTCAAATTTCTACACACGTAATACTTTATAAAGTACTCTAACATCCACTCTCCCGACCTGTGGGTCTGCCTTTCCAGCCTAGACATTTCTATTTGAATGCCTACAAAACTTGTATTTGTATACTAAATCAAAATAATCTCCATCCCCTACCAAAACACACACAACCAAGCCAAACCCAAATCCAACCTCCTTGCATATTTGATGAGTATATATACTGGATACATATACTCAGTCTCCGTGTCTGGCAAAGTCATGGCCATAATAAACCAAACTGCCTCCTCTTGAGAGCCCTGCGGTGGTTTCATGTGAACCCCTTAATGCTGACTGCCCAGACTTGGCTAGGTGGTTAGAGGTGGGCCCTGAGCCACTGAGAGCCACCCATCAAGAGCCAGTGGATGAGCCCGGTGTGAAAAGAGGTGCTCAACTATTCAATCGCTCTCACTCAGGAATCTAGTTTGAGAAGTAAGATGACATTATGAGTAGAAGCTGAAAAGACTTGAAGAAGCCTTGAGGTAATAGGTAGGCCACAGTGAGATTATGAAAGGTATGGAAAGCTTAAACATGACTGAGGAAGCTAAAACTGTAAGCAGGAGCTATGAAGAAAAGGAAGAAGTGGACAGAATAGAACAAAAGGCTAATCCAGGAAAACAGAGAAAAGGGTGGACCCTATTTCAGAAACAGGGAAAAGGGCAGACAGTCTATTTCAGAGAAAAAGAGACACCATGTGGAAGAGACTTTAGGTCCCAGGAAATTGAAAAACCAGGTCCCTAAAGTATATCCATTAACATTCAAGACCCTCAGAGAAATGCGTCTCCTGGCTTGTTGCAAAGCCATACTCTCAGCCCTGACCTGCATGGTATTTCTGTGATTTCAAAGACAACATGCCCCATTAAAAATAACATAGAGTCAGTCAAATCTTTCATAGATGATTAAATCTTTAGAGAACACAAAACAAAGAAAATTAGTGCAACGGAGAAAAGGATAAATCAAATGTGATGCAGCTGCCAAGAAAGAAAAAAAAAAAAAAAAAAGAAGAAGAAGAACCTACAACATCACTCTCAGACAAGATTAACTGGAACGGAGGTCCCTCAGAACAAATAAATAATCCCCTGTGCTCGTCAGAGTCACAAGTACTGGACCCAGTTTTGTAAGTCACATTTTAAGATATACATTGACAAAGTGGAATATGAGAAGAAAAGGACAAAAAAAGAGGAAAGAATAAGGTTCAAAATTAAGTAAATTAAATGATTTGCCCAAAGTCATCAAACAAATAATGTAGGAACCAGAATTTCTATCTAGGTTTTCTGAATGCACGTCTCAGTTTACTGGCTGAATTATCATGTACACTCTCTTAAGCTTCCCAATTCCTCTGTCTCTACTTCAAACTCCAAATCTTCAGACACTTCTAAGAATAGACTTAAATGGTAAGTTTCCTACCCCTTAGCCTTCTCGGAGGTACTCACTTCCTCTAATGAAAGCTGCAAAGACAAACCACTGTAAATCTTTCTGAACAATGCACAACACAGTATATTCCCCACCTTTGTTGGGTAGCTTGTGCTGCTAACACACCTAGCCCAGCACATCACAGCTGCGATTTCTTAATTCAACATATACATGTAAAATAGAGTGACCTTAAAAGCATAAAGAGCATGGTTAAGAATGTCTGATGTGTCTATCACTATATGCAAAGATCAACTCAAAATGGACTAAGGACCCAAAACCATAGAACTACTAGAAGAAAACATAGAAGAAACACTTCAGGGCATTGGTCTAAACAAAGATTTTACAGCTAAGACCTCAGAAACACAGGCAACAAAAACAAAAATAGACAAAAGGGACTAAGTTAAAGGAAATCATCAACAGAGTGAAGAGATAACCTGTAGAATGGGAGAAAATTTTTGCAAACTATTCATCTGACAAGGGACTAATATCCAAAATATATAAGGAACTCAATTCAACAGCAAAACAAACAAGCAATTCCATTTAAAAAGTGGGCAAAGGATCTAAATAGACATTTCTCAGAAGAGACATATAAATGGCCAACGAATATATTAAAAATATCACTAATCATCAGGGAAATGCCAATCAAAATCAAAATGAGATATCAACTCACACCTATTATTATGCCTGTTATCAAAAAACCAAAAAATAACAGATGCTGGCAAGGATCCAGAGAAAAGGAAACTCTTATACACTGTTGGTGGGAATATAAATTAGTACAGCCACTATGAAAAACAGTATGGAGGTTTCTCAGAAAAACTAAAAATAGAAATACCATATAATCCAGCAATCCCACTACTGGGTATTTTATCCAAAGGAAAGGAAATCAGTATATCAAGGGGATACCTTCACCCCCATGTTTATTGCAGCACTATTTACAATATCCAAGTGTCCATCAACAGGTGAATGGATAAAGAAAATGTGGTATACACAATGGAATACACTTCTGCCATAAAAAAGAATGAAATCCTGTCATTTGAAGCAACATGGATGAGCCTAGAGAATAATACGTTAAGCAGAATAAAGTAGGCACAGAAAGATAAATACTGCATGTTCTTACTCACATGTGGAAGCCAAGAAAAAAATTTGAACCCATCTAAGTAGAGAGTAACATTGTGGGTGTTAGAGGTTGGGAAAGGGAGAATGCCGAGAGGTTGTGCTTCAAACGACGCTATTGTGAAAGTAAAAGACAACCAACAGAATGGGGAAAATATTGGCAAATTACATATCTAATAACAGTCTAGTATCCACAACATATAAAGAAACTTACAACTCAATAAAAAGACAACCCAAGTAGAAAACGGGCAAAGGACTTAAATAGACATTTCTCCCAAGACATACAAATGACCAATAAGCACATGAAAAGATGCTTAACACCATTCATTAGTAATTTGAGAAATGCAACTCAAAACCACAAGGAGATACCACTTCATACCCATTAGGATGGCTATATTAAAAAAAAAAAAAAAACAGACATTAATAAATGTTGGCAAGGATGTGGAGAAACTGGAACCCTCAGACACAGCTGGTGAGAATGTAAAATGAAGTTTGGCAGCAACGCAGTTTAAGAGTTCCTCAAAAAGTTAAACATAGAGCTACCATATGACCCAGCAACTCCACTCCTAGGTATACATAACCAAGAGAATTGAAAACACATCCAGCCTGGGTGCAATGGCTCACAGCTGTAATCCCAGCACTTTGGGAGGCCAAGGTGGACAGATCACTTGAGGTCAGGGGTTTTAGACCAGCCTGGCTAACATGGTGAAACCTCATACTACTAAAACACAAAAATTAGCCAGGCATGGTGGTGGTGCACCTACAATCCCAGCTACTCAGGAGGCTGATGCAGGAGAATCGCTTGAACCCGTGAGGCAGAGGTTGCAGTGAGCTGAGATCACGCTATACACTCCAGCCTGGCAGAGCAAGACTCTGTCTCAAAAAACAAACAAACAACAATAAAAAAAAAAATACACCCATACAAAAAGCTGTATACAATTGCTTACAGCGGCATTATTCATAACAGTCCTAAAGTTCAGCCACTGTGGAACGCAATTTGGATACTTCTCAAATAACTTAATACAGAGCTACCATTCCCATTGGGAATGGGATCCCTGGCAGCAATCCCATTACTGGGTATAGAAATTGTTCGACCAAAAAGACACCTGCACTCATATGTTTATTGCATCACTATTCACAATGGCAAAGACATGAAATCAACCCAGGTGCCCATTATCCAATGTGGTACATATACATCATGGAATACTATGCAGCCCTTTCTAAAAAGTACAAAATCATGTCCTTTGCTGCAACATGGATACAGCTAGAGGCCATCTTCCTAATCAGATTAACACAGAAACGGAAAACCAAATACCACATGTTCTGACTTATAAGTGGGAGCTAAATATTGGGTACACACGGACACAAAGATGTGAACACTAAACACTGGGGATTCCAGAGGTGGAGAGGGAGAGTTGGGGGAAAGAGTTGAAAAACTATGTTCACTACTTGGGCAACAGGATCATTAGAAGCCCAAACCTCAACATCATGAGGCATTAACATGTAACAAACCCGCACATGTACCCCTTGAATCTAAAATTTTTTAATAAAAAATTTAAGTTTAAAAATGTTTTAAAGGGGACTATAAAGAAAATGAAAAGGAAAATCCACAGAATGGGAGAAAATATTTACAAATCATACAGCTGGTAACTTCGTTTGTTAAATAAAGACTATGTTTCCTCTTCCATCAATCATGATAATAACACCTGCCCCATAAGACTGTTGTAATAATTAATGAAATAATGCATGTAAAGAGCTCAGCTTAACACCTCCCACACAGCCCATGTGGGATAGCATTAGGTGCTATCACTATTATTTTTATTTTGTTGATAATAAAACAATATTGAGAACTGCCAAGGATTTGAAAAAAAAAATGCTCTTTCAAAACATTGTAAGAAATATTCTGCATAGCATTTTGGCCATGTTGCTATATACTCTTAAAAACCATTAGACCCAGGCATAATGCTACTTCCAGGACTTTATCCTAAAGCACTAATTAAAGAAGTGCATAAAGGCTTACATGAAGGTATTTACTTCAAACTATTATTCATAATAGCAAAAAATGGGAACAATCCAAATGTTTATAAATAATATAAATTTAAAATGAGCTTGCGGAAATTCAAAATGGACTATGAAGCAATTTAAAATGAGGTTG